AGGTGGGGGTTTCATATAAATATCCTCTTTGAGATCTCCATGTAGAAAAGAATTTTTGACATCCATTTGATGAAGAGGCCAATTTTGTGATGCAGCAATGGCAATAATAGTTCGTGTCGTAGTCATTTTTGCTACAGTGCAAAAGTCTCCTCATAGTCTACACCATACTCTTGTTTGTTGCCAAGGACCACCAATCGAGCTTTGTACCGATCAAGAGTTCCATTAGAATGAAGTTTAATTGAATAAACCCATTAACATCCAATTGGACGGAATAAACCATTTCCCTCCCTTCTTTTCTTAAGTACTCTTCTTGTTCCACAATTTACATTTCATTGCCTGAATGAATTTTGATACAGTAGAAGTCTTCTTCTTATTTTTTTTTCTTTCTTCTTATAACTGGAAATCTTCTGAAGCAAATCCTGAGAACTCTCTGAAGGCACATGTTCATAAATGGGACTTGTCTGTTGCATTTCGGTCCCTATTTGTTGACCCTCAAGTATGCTAGTCTTCTCCTCTTCATGCAGTTTTCTTTTCTCTATGATGTTCCTGGTCCTTTTTTCGTTTGTCCTCAAGTGAATGCGTTCTATGTTAGGCCTTGTTCAAACAAACTTGTCAATAATCATGTATCGGCACTCCTCAGCCATCACCCCATAGTAGTCACTCGATTTGAAGATTACAGCAGGCATACCATTGTGAGTTGATTCGGGCTTTCACATTTGGGTCTCCATTATACATCATGATCTATGAACTACGTATTGCGTCTTGACTATCAAAGTGTGTGCATACTAATGCCAAATATTTGGGCCTAAAAAATATCTTTCAAGAAACTTCGGAGCCATTCAACTTATTCACCAGCTTCATCTAGAGCGATAAACTCAAATTCTATTATAGAGCGAGCGGTACACGTCTATTTGGAAGATTTCGAAAAGACTGATCCTCCACTAAGAGTAATAGCATGAAGGAAAATGAGCAAAATATAGACATCAATTTGAATAACTGGTTTTCTGAAAATTGTGATATAAATGGACAATAGACCTATCAAGTCATAGATATAAAACAGACCCCAAATATAGAATGAATAGCTCAAAATTTTCATTACACTGAGAAGGCAAATTTTAAAGTTCATTGCTGAAAGCAATTAAGTTAACAGAACAAAACTGAAGAAAAAAACTCATGGGAAGCTAATTGGTATCGGAACGTTCAAGAGTGTACAATGGTTGTGGAACACGTTTGTATAACATTCATCCTCCTCATAGTTGTTAATTGTAAGTTCAAATTAATAGAAATATATCTTGCTCATGTTTAAATATATACTAGTCTTCGAGAATGTGCATTGCACGCTTGTCCCCTATCATTATACTACTACAATCAGCAATAGGGGTGTACATGACTGGGGTTCAGATTTTTCAAATATCAAACCAAATCATTTGTGTCAAAAAATTTAAATTTATAAACCAAACCAAACTAATAAAACTCTATTTTTTATCGGAACCTCAAGTTTATTCGGATTTTTTTAGATATCAAACCAAACCATTTGTGTCGAATTTTTAAATTTTTAAATCAAACTAAACTAGTAAACCTCAGATTTTTGAATCTTTTGGTTAAGTATTCATACAAACATATAATTAACGTGTGCTACAAATATTTCTTTAGTCCAATCAAAGTACAACTATCTAAAATATTTCTTAAGAATATATTATTAAATGTGAGATGAATAATGACACTAAAATATTCAATAAAAAATAATAATGAAATCATATAAAATAAATATTGCAAATTGATAAGTCACAACAAAAATGATCATAATTTTAAAGTACTAAATCATGCTAAAATAAGTCTAATGAATATTAACTACATGATTAAAATTAGGTTATGTATTTTAAATGTCTATGCCTATGTAAAGCTAAAGAACAAATATTCAATAATATTGTCATTCTTAGTGTTGAATTGATTATTTTTGTTAGCATTAGTATTGATTTGATTTTGAATTGAGTTTTATTAGAGTTAGTAACATCTATGGACTATAACCTTTATTGAACAATTCAAAATTCTAAGTTTCAAAAAACTTGAAAAATTATGTTAAAAGATAAAAATTATGAAAATGTATAAGTAATATTTAGAAATTACATCAAAGTAAATATTTTTTATGTATAAAATAAATTTTAAAAATTATATATATATATATATATATAATGTCGGGTTGATTTGGTCTCAGTTTGATATTTTTTAGTTAAAACCAAACCAACTCAAGTATAGTCAGGTTTCCAATACCAAACAAAGTCAAACCAAATCATTGATCAAGTTTTTTTTGTTTGACTCAATTTGCGGTTTGATTCGATTTTCGTTTCGACTTTGTACACCCCCAGTTTTAGGAACTATAAGTTTTATATAGGGCTTAGGGTAGAAGAGAAAACGACATAGTTTTGATTTAAAACAATTAGGGAAAAGGCTCAAATACCCCTTAAAATAACTGTCGAAGCCCTTTCACGGTTTGGACCTACGGTCCGTACTGGTCAACCATAGAAAAATTTAGAAACCATAATTTTGGATCAAATTTTGACGGACCTTGTCTATGGCCCATATTTCTCCCTACGGTCCGTAAAAACCAACTTACCCCTTAAAATTTCACCAAGTTTGGTACCTATTTACGAGACCTATTTATGGCTAGTACAAAGACTGACGGGCCGTCCTGGTGAACCGTAAAAAGGGGTACTGAGACTTGATTTTAGAAAATTATTTTTCCTCTTCCTACGGTTGTCATCTACGATCCATAGAAGCTTCTATGGTTCGTAGATGGGACTCATAGACACAGATTGCAACCCAAAAACTCCTTTTCTTTCTTTTCCAAATTCTGAGGTGTTACAGGATATCATAGCTTTTTGTGCAGTTCTCGGGCTTATGAAGGTCTTTTTGAGTTATTTCTATTTCCATTGTGCATGAGTATACCTTTTGGGCTTATGGGGGTTTAGTTAGGTTGTAGTTAACTGCTCTACTTTATCATTTCATTCCTGCTAGATTATTGAGGTGATAGTTAGACTTCCAGCTATTGTTACGTTCTTATCACCCTTAACTACCATTTATTCCCTCGCTTTTCATTATGTATTTACTTTCCAAGCTTAGTTGGCCTATGATGTCTACTGTGTACCTGTTGTTTTGGTACTCATGTTATACTCTACATCTATTTTTCCTTATGCATATTTCAGCACCAGCTAGCAGCATTGACTTATGTGTAGCACCGGGACTTTTGGAGATAGAGGGTGAGTTGTTGGCATCCTAGTTTGACTCATCTCCATCTAAATATAGTTTTGACTAGTCTTTTATATTCGAAACAAATTTGTACGTATTTTGGTTATTTTGTAGCTTGTACTCTTTTAGTAGCTTTGTACTTTATTATGTTGTTATATCCTCGTTGGTTGTTGATTCTACCAAATATGCCTATTACTTATCGTTCTGAGATAGGGGTCGATTTACCTTCTAGTTAGTTTTTGGTAGATGTCATCATGACTCGAGGTTTCAGATCGTGACATTTTGAGATTCAAATTGCATGTCTATACAATAAGTAAACATTTGGTAACTTACTAGGAGATAAGTTATTTATGTATTAAATTCTAAAATAATACAACATTTGCTAATATTCTTTTTTCCTATATATAAATAATACGGTAGTTGATTTAAAATTTAAGTAGGCATGTAACTAATATATGTATAAATTTTCTTTTTTATTGATAACTAAATGATGGAAATGAAGGCACACTGATTGAAAAACGCAAGCTCTGATTCACAGGGTTTTTGACTTCAAAACCCTCGCTACTACAAGAAATTTTTGATCGATCATGGCCAAATTGGCCACTAGTCAGCCTGCTTCGGCGGCTGGCCAGCAAATCTCTCTCAATTCTAGTACTCAATTACCCTCTCTACCGAATTCCAATTCAATTCCCATTAGAAACCAAGATACTGGAAGGATAAGCCTGACGAACCTAAAAGTTTGCCTACTGATTTGGTTTGTGCATCTGCTCAAGGAGGCAAATATGTTGACCTTCTTAAACCTAATACAATGAATCTATCTCAAAATATCAAACATGCTATTGTTACACCTATTCCCAGCAAACAGCCTTCGTATATCAATGGTATTCCAAGAATAACATGGACTAAAGATGAAGTTAGGCAGATGAACACCATTGAAAACTTGCAATATGCGGTGATAGGGAAGTTTTCCTATGCGTGGCCAGAGATGGATGATTTGTGAATTCAAATTCCCAAACAATGTGATGTGAAGGGTGGATGTAAGATTGGGTTACTACGAAATAGACATACATTAATGCGATTTGAATTGTTTGAAAATTTTGTGAATATGATGTCGAAGAATTCATATTACATCACGGGCAAGGATGGTACAGCATATCAAATGCGACCTCTCAATATATGATGCAAAATTTAAAGTGGATGAGGAAACGACTCAAGCCATGGCCTGGATTTCCTTTCCTGACTTATGGCCAACCTTTTTTGTTAAGGAATCTTTATTCTCACTGGCCTCTGCTTTAAGGAAGCTTATTCATTAGATATGGTGACAATATATAAGACACGACCTAGTTGTGCTAGATTCAAAGTTCAAGTGGACCTACTTGTTGATTTACCCAAATTTGTAGAATTGGAGATTGAGGATCCTATATCTCAATCATCAAGAGTGGAAAGAATTAAAGTTCTCTATGATGTTTTACCAAAATACTGCAAAAAGTGTAAACTACGAGGAAATAATGAAGATGATTATGAGTTTTGCATCCTGAATTGAAGAAGGATAATTAGATTGAGGTGGCAACAGAAGCAGATCCAACAAAGAAGAATGAGGCACACAGGAATCAACAAAAACTTTTCAATAGTGGAATCCTACTAGGAGAAGATTCACTTTGGAAAAGGGCAAATTTTGTGATAATGCAAGAGATCTAGAAGAAGATGATATAATCACTAAAAATCCTTTTGATGATTTACCTGAAAATAATGATATGGGACAAGAAGTAGGGTCTGTAGAAGAGAGGGAGAAGATTGAGTTATCAGAAGTAGACAACACAGATACAAGTAACAAGGAAGAACATACCACAAGAAATTGGGTTAATCAATCATTTTACAAGAGGAGAGCACCAACTCAAGATGCTAAGAAGGATAGTGGTGACCAAGAAGGGGATCTCATTGTTGGTGAACATGTGCAGCAAAAGGATAAGGAAAATGGTGGAGATGATACAACAGATACATCAGAGGTTGTAACTACTGTAAGTAATGCTATAACTGTAGTAGTCTATAGTGACAAAGAGCAAGAGCAGCAACAACTACAAAGTCAGCAACAAACATTATACAATGCAGAGATGGGAGTTGATGAGTCCAGCAAGACAAATAGTGACTTGTGGTATGATAATTTAGTGCATAACAATGAAAAAATGAATATTGAGAAGGTGCAACAGCAGCAACAAGAACAACATTTAATAGACTTGGAGAATACTAATGAAGAAAGTAACTTGCAAGATGATGTACAACAGCAACTAATTGATGTTGAGAAGGATAGTAATAGAAGTGATCTGCAGGAAGTTGTTCAGAAGCATCTAGATGTGGTCAATAATGTAAATAATCTGTTGGACAGTGAAACAAATGGAATTTATGGGGATAAGGGGAAAGATGCATATCCATAAGTCAAGAATGAGAAAGTTGACAAAGGTGGAGACAAAACTCAATCACAACAACAAATGGTGGAAAAGAAAATGGAGATAGAAGGGTTAACTGAACCATTACCACAGGCAATCATAGCTTCAACAGTTGATTCTCCTGTTAAGGTCCTGCATGACATTGTTGCACACAATATAAATGAGATAAATGAACAGCAACATATGGAAGTTAATGAAGAAATAAGCAAGGAAGACGCAGATGTAGATCAAAATCAGCACAATCTTAATCATGCTTTAACGGTGGCAGATTTATCTCCAGATGTTCAATCAAAGGGGAAGAAAAATAGGGCTAATGCTGAAACCAGTAAGCCCACAAGAACTATTCCTAAAAGGAGTGCTAAATCTGTTTATAAATGATTCAGAAAGCACTTGTACGGAATATTAGATCAGTCAGAACCCAACGTGCTTTTTATAGGGTTCAAATGCTTAACAAACATCATAAGTTCTTCGTCATAGCACTAAACCTAAACCCTACGAACGCGACCGTCTATGGCCACGTCGGCCGGTGGCCAACCTCCCACAGGGGTTGGTTTGCCCACTATAACCAATCCTACCATCACTACTAACAATCTTGACTATGTTGCTGCAGTACATAATTCAATCACCCCACCAATGACGGAACATATAGCTATTAAGCCTATTATTTTCTTGCATGGGGAGCCAACGATTACATGGACAAAGAACGAATTTGAGAAGTTGAAGGTGAGACAAAATCTCCAATATGTTGTGGTAGCTAAGTTTTCCTATGTGCGTCCAGATCTGTACGAATTGAGGAAGGAAATTCCAATTCAATTGGAAATTAAAGGACCATACAATATTGGTTTCTTAGAGGAGAGGCACATACTGATTAGATTATCATTACTAGAGGATTATGCAACTTTGATGTCCAAAGCTTGGGAACTCAAAGTAAGGAATAGATATTTCCCCTTAAGATTATTAAAGTGGGATCTGTGGTTCAACCCAAAAGAGGAAACAACCTTTCCATTGCGTGGATTTCGTTTCCCAGATTGCCAACTAATTTGTTTGATAAAGAATCTCTTTTTTCTTTGGCAACAGCTGTGGGGAAACCTCTAGTGATTGACAAAGCCACTAATAATCAAACTAGACCTAGTTGTGCGAGGGTTAAAGTGGAAGTAGATTTGCTAAAAGAACTACCAAAAAGAATTCAAATCAATTGTATAAAAGAGGAGACGGGAACAGTGAGATCAAAATGGCAGAAAATTCAATATGATTATCTCCCGAAATATTGCACACACTGTAATCTTCAAGGACACGATTTACAAGGATGTTGGGTATTAAACCCTGAGCATAGTCCAAAGAGAGAAGAAAAATAAGAAGATAAGATGCTAAACGACAAAGGAAAGGATGAAGAGGAGAACAAAGGAAAACATATACCAATCATGAATGGAGTATTTAAGAATGGAAAGTTGAGTTGATTCATGAAAATTGGAATGTGGTTCAAAATAAAAATAACAAGAATAAATTGCAGCATGACCTAAACCAGAAGGAATATGATACCCAGCAGAATCACAACAAAAACAAGGGTCACACGGATAATAAAGGTGACAAAGTAATGACTACCACTAATAAATTTGAGACTTTAGTGGACCTCACTGATGATAAGCAAGATGGAGCAGAGAAAAATGTGGAAAGATCAACAAGTGCTAGCAACATTAAAGGAGAAGATACGACTAAGCAATAGGTAGTGCAACAAAGATAACCAACAGTCGAAGTGAAGATAACATTAATCAGAATAGCAAATATATAGATGATGAAGTAACACACAATACCGACAATATGGGGAAACAAAATATACAGGAAAAAGACATAATACAAGAAAATCAACAGAATATAGAGGATAATTTGCATATAATTAAAAAGGTGCATGCAAATTCAGATAGCCCACAAGTTGTGTTCACCCCACAAAAACCACCAGATAATCCAACAATACAAGGAAATCAAGACCCTGCAAATTCAACAGAAACAACAACATTAGTAGTAGCAGACACACACCAGGGTAATCAAGACATTAACATAAAAACTCAAAGCAAAGACAGAGAGATAGATAGAATAAAGGAGAATAGTAGTCAGAAAGGGGCAGAGAATTAGAATATAATAACAAATACGACAGAAAGGCAACAAAACGGAGAACATAAACATGAGGTCTATATTGGAGATGATGATGAACTGGAGAACAGTGTGGTAGTAATTCAAGACGATAACAAAGGAGATCTATCTCCTAGACAGATAGCAAAAACAAAGAAAGAAAAGAAAAATACTAAAGGAAGAGATAAAAGTGTACCTCCAAAGGCAACTTGAGGTATACTAACAAGGAAAGCCCATGCCAATACTATCTGTGAATTGCTCACTTATATGGAATAATATAAGGTTTGTTAATTCACAACAGGCTTTTGAAAGGGTAGTAATGATGAATAGGCAAAAACATTTTAACTTTGTAGCCTTGATGGAACCTTTTCAACATTGTAGACATATTGACATGTATAAATTATGGTTGAATATGGGAACAGCTTGTCATAACTTAAATGGAAAAATTTGGTTATTTGTGGAAGATAGATTTCAGATGGAAGTACAAATGGACACCGAACAACTACTATCATTCATACTCACAGATATTGATGATGGACATGAAATACATGTGACAATAGTATATGCTAGCACAGATAGACATACCAGAATAGCTCTATGGGATGATCTATATACCATTGCAACAACAATGACGAGCCCATGGTTAGTAGGTGGAGATTTCAATGTGATTATTGATGATCTTGAAAAGTATGGGGATTGCCAATACAATTCAATGAAACTGAAGACTTTATTCACTGTATCAATACTTTCCAGTTAATAGACTTGGGCTTCAAAGGAAGTATGTACACATGGTGGAATGGTAGAACAGATGCAGCCTGTATATTTAAAAGACTTGACTGATGCTTGGGGAATCAAGCCTTGCAGGATTTATTCCCTAATTTAGAAGTGGAGCATCTTATCAAACAGGGTTCAGATCACTCTCCCCTAGTAATAACAAGTGGAGTAGATAGAAATCCAATCAAGAAAGCATTTAGATTCCTAAACTTTTGGGTGGAACATGAAGCTTTTTAGAAAGTTGTAGCAAAGAACTGGCAAGAAGATCATACTACTGATCCTTTCTTTAACTTTCACAATAAACAAAAAAGGGTGAGTAAGGCACTATCTAAATGGAGTAAGGACTCATATGGAGACATATTCAGACAGATAGATACTCTGACAGAAGTGGTACAGAACCATGTGCAAGAATTTGAGAATAATCCTACCAGTACTAACAGAGAAAGACTACAGAAGATGCAAGCTGATTTAATCAACTTATATGCAGTAGAGGAAAAGTTTTGGAAACAAAAAGCAAGAATGCAATGGTTTGTGGATGGTGATAGAAACACAAAAATTTTCCATGCACATGTTAATGGAAAAAGAAGACGATTGCAAATAAAAAGAATTCAAGATGATAGAGGAGAATGGCTAGATAAAGAAGAAGAGATAGCGCAGGAGGCAATCAAATTCTACACAAAACAATTTACAGAAGAAAAACTCCCTAGTGACTTTGACATGCTGAAATATATACCTAAGATGGTATTAGAAGAACAAAATGTTGTAATTAATGAACTACCGGAGGAGGAGGAAGTTAAAAATGCCGTATTTGGACTAAACGCAGAGAGTGTTGGAGGACCACGTGGATACACCGGCAAATTCTATCAGGATTGTTGGAATATAATTGCAAAAGACATGACAGAGATGGTGAAATCTTTCTTTTGTGGGCACGAGTTACCTAGGTACATCACATGTACAAATCTGACACTAATTCCAAAGAAAAAAGAAATCACTATTTTCTCGGATATGAGGCCTATCAGCCCAAGTAACTTCACCAATAAAGTGTTTTCTAGAATTATCCATGATAGGTTGGCTAAGATACTGCCAACATTAATATAACCCCAACAATCAGGCTTTGTTAAAGGCAGAAGTATTGTAGAGAACATCTTATTAGTTCAAGAGATAGTCCATGATATCAGAATAAGGGGTAAGTCTGCTAATGTTGTTATCAAACTAGACATGGAAAAAGCTTATGACAGAGTATCTTGGATATTTTTTTACTAAAATGCTCAGAAAAATAGGTTTTGGGGAGATCCTAATAGATATGATTTATAGAATCGTATCCAATAACTAGTACTCAATACTAGTTAATGGACAACCTCATGGTTTCTTTAAGTCAACAAGGGGAGTGAAATAAGGTGATCCCTTATCACCAACTTTATTTATACTGGCTGCAGAATGGTTATCTAGAGCTCATAATGCACTTCATTGTAAGGAGGGGTACAAGGAGTATGGAATGCCAAAGTGGAGTCCATATGTGAACCATTTAGCTTATGCAGATGATATTATCATATTTGCATCAGCAGACAAATATTGTTTAGAGTTGATAATGAACACCTTGTTAGAGTATGAAAAGGTAAGTTGACACCTGATTAACAAAGCAAAAAGTGTGGTCTTCATGCATCATCTCACCCCCAAGCTCTAGTGGATCAGGTATATGTTGTGACAAAAATTCCAAAGAAAGATTTTCCTTTCACCTATTTGGGTGTGCCAATGTATTATAGTAGGAGACAAAATATTTCTACAAAGAACTTTTGGATAAAGTCCAAAACAGATTGAGTCCCCCTGGACAGGAAAAATCTTATCTATAGAAGGAAGGACAACTTTGATAAAATGTGTCATGTAGAGTATGCCTATTCATTTATTATCAACATGTGACCCCCCAGCTGGAGTCATAGCCCAACTACACCGAATGTTTGCTAAATTCTTTTGGAGAAACTCAGTTGAAAACTCTAGTAAAGACTGGGAAACTTGGACAACATTATGTCATCCATATGAAGAAGGTGGAGTGGGTTTCAGAAGTCTTAAAGATATATCTAACGCACTAT